GTGATCTCCAAAAACATCAGACAAGATGATTTATACCCAGTTGTTCTCAAAAATGACACTCCACCATCTGGAATTATAGCCCACTGCTGGAGAACAACATTCAGAAAGAAAAAGGCTGGTCTCCTAGGCTGTCACCCTTCACATCTTCACACAGTGAGCCTGAACCATTTGCATTTTTGCTCTCAACACAGGAAATTCCTTCTTACATCTACTACTTGGACACAAAGACAATGATGCCAGAAGAAAAGGTGACTTCCAGAGAGGAGCAAGGGAACACGAGTGTGGATCGGTCTGGACACGAAGGAGAGAAGCCTGCAAGCTAACAATGGGACAAAGTTGGAATCTGAATGTCTACAAACACATCCCACCTGGGAAAATAAGACACAGAGCACTGATACAATCCTTTTAATGTTTGATGTATTAATCATTTTAACAAATGAGAACCTAATGCTTATGTTGTTCGTTTTGAGTCTTATGTAGCCCAGGCTGGCCTTGAACTTACCATGTAACTGAGGATGGTCTTGAACTTTTAGTCCTCCTGCCTCCACCTCCTGAGTATTGGGATTATAGACATACACCATAATGTCTGGCTGATGTGATTGTATTTATATTAGGTAAATACTCTCCCAAATGAGCTACACCCTTATCCCTGAAGTTAGTGCTTCTCCACATGCAGTGAGAGCCCTTCTGTGTCAGTAAGCAGGTTTGGACGTCCCGTTTGTCATTAGAGGTTATCATCCTTTTGGTGCTGTAGTTGCTCCTGCTGAGCTGTCTGTGTCACTAATGTAACAACAGCTGTATCCTCACTGCTGTCACCTCACAGGAAAAGCACAGGCAGACCCGAATAGCTCTTCTAGGCTTAGCTGTCATTTTCTTTATGCTAAGTTGGTTTTGTGTGGCCAGTGGGAATAGCTAAAGAGATGCTGAGATCCAATGAGAAAGAAGGATAGGGCAGAGAGCTCTAACAGTGCGCAAAGGGCGCAACCTTTGGGGAGCCCAGCAGGAAAGCTGTTCTGGGCCATCAAGAAGGCCTTACACTAGAAGGCATAGTACTTTGAGCACAACCTTGCATTGCGAGGCTAGAGGGCAAGAAGAACTGATGCACTCGAATGCTGGCGTTGCTGCAAACCAGCTTTAAGAGCAACCATGGTGGCTTGGTTTCTTGACTCATAGCAGACAGCTTACATTTCCTAACTTTCTGACCATTGTCATGATGACCTATCACATTGAATGGGCAAGGATCCCAGGATGAAGGTACACTAAAATTCTCCCACTGTAGTGATTAGAATTGACAGTAATCTGTAAGTGAGAAAACCATCTTGGAAGCTCAGAAGCCTTCTTCAGTCACACTTTCTCCAATAATCAAGCTACCATATATTAAGGCATCCATTCATCTATTCTTCATGATGCATTAGGCATGCTTATTTTGCTTAGGGAAGTACTCATGAGCGGACTCCTCTCCTGTTGCACATAGGAAGGATGTGTTGAGTTTTCTATGAAATTTCCACATTGTTTCCCAAAGTGGCATTACCACTTGGAACATATAAGAAGGATAGCTGTGTTTACATCATTAACACTTGGCACACAAAAATCTAAAGTATTGTTATCAATGTTACATGTTAAGCTATTACCCAACAGAAATCTCTACTGAGAGCCTGTCTAGTTTATCTTTCCTTTAAGTTTCACAAATTTCATGAAAGATTTATAAAGAAAATATTTGATATTGCAGATTATTGTGAACAGGTTAACTGGCCTGTTTTTGTTATGGATTATCCTTACTTATTTCCAACAAAATTTGTCATATTGAATCTGTTACTATTAATAGTGTTGGATGTTTTGGTGGTTTGAGTAGGAATGGACTCCAGAGGCTCATATATTTGAATGCTTGGTCATTAGGGATTAGCACTGCTTGAGAGAGATTAGGAGGTGGGGCCTTGTTGAAGTAGGTGTGGCCTTTTTGGAGGAATTATGTCACTGGGGTTGAGCTTTGAGGTTTCGGAAGCTCAAGTCAAGTCCGCTGGCTCTCTCTTCCTGCTGCCTTTGAATCTAGATGTAGAACTCTTAGCTACCATACCTGTTTGCATGCTGCCATGCTCCCCACCCCTTCATGACAATGGACTAAACCTCTGAAACAGTAATCAATCCCCAGTTAAATCCTTTCCTTGGTCATGGTGTCTCTTTACAGCAATACAACACTAATGAAGACAAAAGTGGTCAGTTCTCAATCAAAGTTTGTGTCTATCTACCTACTTATACAGATAAGCACCCCTTATATATGCATACCTACCCATCCTTTCACTTTATTTCTATAGAAATTTCTATAGATGTTGACATATATTTCAAATGTATTTCATTGTATTTTGATATGTAGTATGTGTACTATAAAACACATTTTATGTTAAAGTTGTTCATGCAGTTTTACTACTTTGATTGACAGTCTACCATCTTCCTTATTTTCTTGTCTATTAGGAATTTATTTCTGTTTCATTTCTTTTTCTTTTTTTTTTTTAAAGACAGGATATCACTATGTAAAGCAGGCTGGACTAAATTCACAGAGATCTGCCTGCCTCTACCTTGAGTGCTGGGATTAAAGCCAAGACCTTTCTTTTTATTAAAAAAAAGTAATATTCATCAAACTTTTGCAATAGCTCCTTATATATGGTTATAGTATCCACTTGGTGCTTGTATGAGAGCTTAAAATAAGCATGGGAGACTTATTATAGTACATCTTCTGTTAGCATCTTTACTGCCTTCAACAAGCAATGCAATTACAACAGTTTAACCGCCTTTTTTCTTCCATCCCAGGGCTCATATATCTCATTTCCATATGTTGCAAACCTCTGAGCATCTTGTCATTGTTGTTTTAAAGCAAATCCCTAAGCATCTTGTTATTGTTGTTTTAAAGCATCAATAGGATTGTGTTTGCCAGCATATTGGCTTCCTCATGTGCTTCCTGTTGTCCTATGTATCCATCTGGAATCACTTTTGTTCAACCTGAAAATGTTCTTTTCATAGTTGACTCTATTGGAGAGGAAACTTAAATCTCCTTATTTGACCACCAAACATCTTTATTTCTCGTGTTTATTTTAAAAGTTTTGTTCTTTTATCTTATGTTACATGTGTATGCTTGTATAAATTTATGTCCACCACATATGTGCAGGTGCCCATCAAGGTCAGAAGAGGATGGAGGAAACCCTAGAATTGGAGTTACAGGTGGTTGTGAGCACACCTTTGTAGGTGCTGTGAACTGAACCCAGGTCCTCTTCAAGAGTAACAAGTGCTCTCAATCACTGCCATCTGTGCACCCCCGCTCTTCACTTCTGTAAACATTGTATTCACTATGAACTCTAGGTTGATGTCTTTTCTACTTTCTGTCCTTTAGGACTTTCCACTTTATTCTAGTTAGCATGTTTCTACCTGAAAAGTCAACCATCTGTCTTAAGCTTGCTCCTCTGAAAGTCTTTCTTTCTCGGAACATTTTATAGCCTTCCTCCTGGGCTTAGATTTCTATCAGTTTGATTATCATGATCTCAGATGAGCTTTTCTTCATGTCTGATCTCACTGAGGCTCACTAAACTTGAAAGTATGAGCTTTTTTTTTTCTCATCTTCTCTGAAAGTCCCTTATCTTTTTAGATATTGCTTCTGCCCCAGGCTCTCTCTTCCTTATACCATGATGCTCAGGCCCACTTATGCTACAGTTTTCACACATGACTTCTATGTTCTGTCCTATCCTCATTTCTCCTTTATATTTCATTTTTTCTTTAATCTGTCTTTGAGATCACTATCTCTAACTGACTTTTCTATCTCAATGACTATCTTATACATTATATTCATTGTTCAGACTAGAATATTCATATGATCTACTTTGTAGTATCTAAGGTACTATTCAGACTCTGCCTGTTTTTCTCCATTTCATTTTTTTTTCCAGTCAGAGATCATTCTGAGAAAGGCTATAACAGGGAGTTGAGTCCAGAGAAAGGAAACAAAATCCAAGTGGTCCTAAGGGATTCCAGGGAGTGAAACCCATGCTTAAGAGCTGGCTGGGTCCCAGAGCACACAGGAACATCAGTCATCCACTTAGTTTGTAGAAACTGAGAAATTCAGTGCATTAAACCAAAAGCTAGAGAAGGCAGTGTAATAACCAGACTGAAGTGACTTGAGGAAACTGTATGTGCTTGAGCCTTGCAGAAGACTGACACTCGAGGTGAAGACCCGAAGCCATGCTGCAGGAGTGAAGGCTTAACTTCAGGGTGTGCTGATAGGCGCAAAGAGGGGACTGAGTGATGAGGGAACAAAATGAATACAGAACCTGGGGAGCTGCAAGAGTGCAGACAGCGAAGGGAGGAAAAGCAGCATGCGGGAGGAAGAGGAGGGAGAACAATGAGAGGAACGCTGGAACTAAAGGAGCGGTCATGACAATGGGAAGACGAGACCAACTCTAGATGTCGGGACCTGGAGCCAGCAGTGACTGAAAAGGCCAGCCATTTCCCAAGGCCACTGCCAACTTTGTCAAGAGAAGACCCACACAGGTGGCAGTGCGAGGCCAGGATGCAGCAGTTAACCAACTACCCCGGGGGCGGGGGAGAGAAGACACCAACTGCCTTGGGCTGCCTCTGAGCTGCCTGGAGGCTGTGGGAGAGAGAAGTAGACAGGTATGGAGGCAATAGTACAGAGCACAGGACACCAATGCCAAAAGGCATGGCCACCTTTATATTGTCTTTCACTGTAAATCACCACTTAAGCTGGTACCATCATTGCAAGTGGGTGGATACAAGCATCTTCTTCAGAGGAAAAAAAGGAGAAAAGCTATAATGCAGAGCAAATAGGTCTTATGAGGAAAACTATTAGTATCATGTCGCATCTGGTGAGACAGAATATGAAAATGTGTACCAAGGGTAATGATAGAGATTTTTTTTTTT